AAGCATTGTGTAAGGAGGCTTACCTCAACTCCTGATGTTCCAATTGTGGCAACCCAGAGCCTCCCTGCTGAACGACGATGCAAATACATGCATCCTCCACTTCTTTACATGGTGGCGTGATATAGAAGGCACAAAGAACCAACGCAGCGGTAGGTTGTACTTCATCCACCACCACATGCTCGCTACTCACCCCACCTGAGGATGAACTGGCACCGGAGCAGGGGGGCAAGCGGGGGAGCTCTGCTCTATATCCACTCTCTTCCTGTATAGTGCCCTTGCGCGCCCCGCAGTGGTGCCTGGGAGCCGGAATTTGACATTATATTCCGGCTCCCAAGACCTGTACAGGGCGCGTGAGGGAGTTCTACAGGAAGAGAGTGGAGTGTGTGTTTTCTCTATGCCCCACTCCCCCCAATATTGTTCCTTGCTCCCTAACCATCCAAAATACTGCCCCTGACCCCCAATACTCCCTAAACATCCAAAATACTGCCCCTGCCCCCACACAATGTTCCTCTAACTTACATCAATACTGCACTAACCAACACACAATACTGTTCCTATCCACCCCCACTAAACCCCAATCCCCCACAATGCTGTTCCCATCTCCTCACTAATGCCCCAATCCCCCGAAACCCTGCCACTCTCCCACCACACTTAAGAATCAATCTGTCACAATACAGCCCCTGTGCCCATCAAAATAAAGCCCCAATCCCCCACCATACTGCCCCTATTCCCCCACTCTTAACCCCTTAAGGACCAAACTTCTGGAATAAAAGGGAATCATGACATGTCTCACATGTCATGTGTCCTTAAGGGGTTAAGCTGCTAATGCCCCTGTCCCACACAATACTAAAATATATTTGCGTATAATTGGTGTGTTTTTTGTTTTTTGTTTTTTATGGGGGTAGGGAGCTTGGGTGAGTTCCCACACTTTCTTACCCAGGACTTGACCCCTGCTCCCCTTGTTGCTACTCACACAGACAAGTGAATAAATGGTTTAATTTTCACTTTGTATAATGTGCTTAATTTAGAAGTTTTTATTTCCTTTGAACTTCAATCACACACAGGAGGCCGATCCGGTAGGTGTCATTGCATCCTAACTACAGTGGGCTTTAACGCATTTAAGATGTAATGACACGTCCTGCAGATTTGGTGATAAATTCTGTGATCCAGTAACTACATTGCTTATTCTCAAGACTTTTGTTGTCTACTATGGAAATTATAAACTGACATGTTGGAAGCAGTTTCCTGTTGTATGATCACTGATTATGTTATCATATAGATTTTTGTCACAAATTTTATTTGTAAGTAATATAGTTATTGTGTGCTGTATTGAATTAGGTAGAACTACAAGAATTTGGGATCAGAGATAAAATAGTAGGTATCTCTATTATTTAAAATTGTGGGCGTGATTCTATGATTATCTCCATATTAATATGTTTAATAACATTTTTCATAATTTCCATAAAATATATATATATATATATATATATATATTTTTTTTTTTTTTATATATAGTTTGTTCCACAATTATCCCTAAAGTGGAGGCTTAAACCCCTGCTCACACCACGGAGTCCCAGGTATCAATGGACCCAAGGCTTCGATTTGTCTGCTGTGGCCATTTTTAGATAAGCTGTTTGCAGCGCTGCAAGCCTGATAAAAAAAAATATATATATATATATATATATATATATATATATATATATATATTTTTTTTTTTTTTTTATTACTTTATTTGTATGATTCTGTGTGACAATCCTTATACCTTTCAAATCATTTCATAGTATTTGAGAAAACCAACTATAACTACAGAATCCAGTCCCAGGCAAGATTTCATGAACACTCTAAAAACCATCATTCATAAGCACTCCTTTTGATTATGGTGCCCTGGGCAACTGTAAATGGTTTAACAACTTACTAAGGGTCCATGAAGCCCTGGTCTCAAATTCCAGAAGAGACGAAAGCCCCTGCATATAGCTTCTGTTGGCTTCAATGAGCCTGCAGTGCCTGGTCAGCTCATTGTCGGCAGAGAGCTTCCAGGTGACCGGCACTCAATGAACCACAGGTATGTTGTCAAACCATCTGCAAACAGTTTGACAACTTACCATGGGTACTGGCACTATAACCACTACAGCCCAGTGGTTATGGTGCTTGGAGTTTTTCTTTAATGTCTGGCTTTTGCATTTTTTTACTCGCTGCCTATTGGATGACACTTGTCATCCATAAAATATATGGTTTTCTCATGATTCCTAGACAGCCATTAGACTGACTAAATAATTTGAGATGTGAATGTGATTCACACACATTCACAGTTGCAAGTTAGCATGTTCTTGAAAAAGAGTGAAATCTCCATGTATTTTTTTCCCTGTTAAAATATTTTATAAATAGATGAATATTGTAAGATAATTTACTGATTTGAAGAGTAGAAACAAGATCAGATTTGCAAATTCTGTTGTATTTTTTTTGTTTTGTTTTTACTTTGTGGTGAAAGAGGTGAGCATGGAATTGTATGACCAGGCTATTGAATGGGTTATTATTTAAAACCCCTGCATGGATGGAAATGTGAAAAATCATAAGGTGTTGATATGAGCTGCAACACACTAGAAATTGTGGATTTAAAAAAGTGTCAGAGGATACCTTTTCTCTGCCGTATGAAAAACTTGTTTATCCAGTTACCTCACATTTACCACAAATCAGGTGATTAGATGAGCAAGAAGGCTGAAATGTCACATGGTCAATAACTTGCAAGTGCTATGGCTGCAAGTAAAGCAATAAAAATAAGCAAGATAATGAGTCACTAAATGGTGATCAAACACGGATTTTCCTATAAATTGATGTGGAACCAGACAATGAGGTTTCATTTAGATTTCTGGAGATATGTCACATGAGATCTCCTAAAAGGTTGACCCTTGCTCCTTATACTTTATAAATAACATCTTCTATCAGTACAATCTGAGATTTGTTTCTTATGACATAAGCGCAGTGCAGAACTCTGGAATCCTAACAAGTAACTTGGTTAAAAGGCAACTTGGGGAGATAATAGTACCTCTATAAATTAATTTTGCATGGATGGGGAGAATATGTTCAACAGTTTCTGGGTATGTGCTGGCATCCAACAATTCTAGATGAATGCCTGCAGTCTAAGTTATCCAATGTCTCATTTGGATAGGCTGATCCCACAAAGCACAAAACACGAAAATATATTTTACAGAAATAGAGTATTTACTTTTTTTTTTTTTTTAAATAATTTAATTGGATAGTAGACTTTGTGCAACATTTGAATACACCCACTAGTACACGGGTCAATCTGTTGCAGGTACCAAACCATTTATTTTATAGATTGTATGACTTCTGGTGTGTGTGGATACCTTCTTCCTTCCTTCCTTCCTTCCTTCCTTCCTTCCTTTTTTTTTTTTTTTTTAATTCTTTTTATTAGATTTTTTTCATGAGAATATTAATAGACATAACAACATCTCAGGGGAGGAACCTTACCTTTTTTATAACCTCTTACAGCCCATCCCTACTGGGCATAGGCGTGCGCACGGGGTGTGCCTAGGCACACCCTAATCCCCGCGGCACGCGCTATGTGCCTCCCTCCATGGGCCGGTGAGGGAGATCAAAGATCTCCCTCACCGACCCACAGGCAGGAGAGGACCCGGGGTAGCTCTTGCCAGCAGCTCCGCCGGGTTCCTCTAGCGCGGTCGGAGTGTTACCGCGGCAATGCTCAGATCTCGCGAGAGTGAACTCTAACGCCACAGGGGGCTCGAGTTCACTCTCAACTGGACTACCAGGGAAGGCAGGAGCACGGTCCCCCTCCCTACATAAGGTAAGAAGGGAGGGGGGATATTAACTAAACGGACCGCACACACACATACATCACCCTTACACACACACGCACACACTAACAGCACCCTCACACTAACAGCACACTCACACATACACACAGCACACACTACCAGCACCTTTACACACACAGCACCCTTACACATACACACACTAACAGCACCCTTACACACACACAGCACACACTAACAACACCCTTACACACACACACTAACAGCACCCACACACTAACAACACCCTTACACACATAGCACCCTCACACATGCACACACTAACAGCACCCTTACACACAGCACCCTCACACACAAAGCACCGTTACACACATACACACACTAACAGCACCCTCACACACAGCACACACTAACAGCACCCTTACACACACAGCACCCTCACCCACACACAAAGCACACACTAACAGCACCCTTACACACACTAACAGCACCCTTACACATACACGCACACACTAACAGCACCCTTACACACACACAGCGCCTTCACACACACAGCAGTGTGTGTGTGTGTGTGTGTGTGTGTGTATGTGTGTGTGTGTATATATATATATATATATATATATACGCGGCGTGTGTGTTTCTGCTTTAGCGTGCACACCCTTATACAATAGGCTGCGCACGCCTATGCTACAGGGGGAAATTGCAGCAGATGTATCTTGCACCAACATTCAAATGTACTAAGAAAGGTATTTACTGCAAAATGACTCCTGGAACGTGTACATAAAATCCAACACCAGAATAGATTTCCTCATGTAGTGAATGTATAGACCACTTTGGATAATTTATTATAGGTTTGTACAGCACTGGCACTGTAAATCTATACATTACAATGAATGTGGAAGAGTTCATTCTGACTTTTCACTGCTATGAACGTGTGCTATAAATAATATTAATACTCCCCAAGCTGCTCTGAAAGTCTCCTTCGATGGTAGAATGCCTCTGTCCAGAATACGCTATAGATATGTCACATGTTCAACAGAACTGGTTCCATTAGCATCTCCATTCTTCAGTATATGACAAATTATTTAGATTTTAATAAAAGTTGCTTTTATAAAGGTACATACCTGATTGAAGAAGGTCTTAATACTAACGTTATTTGTTTTTGTCGACCCCACTCAGACAAGTCTCTGACCCCCTGCACTGCCTATAATGGTCTCTGTTCAGGAGGCGACAATGGATGACATTCCCCTGCAGGATGAAATGGGGAGTGTGGAGTACAGGCTGCTGATGGTGTATGCCCAACGCACACGGTCAGCCAGCAAGTTCCAGCACATAAACCAGGAAGGTGCACAGGCAGAAGCAGACGGGGAGCACACAATTGCCACCAATGGGAATGACCACAAGAGACATAAATCCTCTAAAGGCACAAAGAAAAAGAGCAAGTGGCTTAAGCGTATGACCCCCAAGTGCCTGAAGCCTGAAAACGACAAGAAGAAAAAAAGGAAATCTCTTGCTGCGAGTAAGTAGTTTTGTTAGTTTTTGTGACCGAACAATAATTAGTTTGCCATTAATCAATGTCAGAATCCAATGACCCCCTGAATAATGAACTATCTGTTCTTTTCTTCTGTAATTCTTATTTGCTAAAAAATGATTGTAACATTTTAAAAAGCTAAACTGGCTATTGCTGGAATCCCAACGCACTCTTTATCTTTCCAGCTTTGTGTTTAAGAGATTTTCTGGGAAGCTCCCACCGTACCTGAGCAGAATGCTCTCCCCAGCTGTCCCCACCTCCTATAATCTCCGATCCAGTGTGAGCTCTTTATTACGTTTACCTCAATACAAAAAGAAAGTGGCTCGATCCGCCATTTTCCTACAGAGCTCTGCAATTGTGGGGTTGTTGTTTTTTTGTTTGTTTCTTGTATTTTTGGGGGCCCAGGACATTCTTGAAAACTATAGAAATCTCCATTTATCCTTCCTGATAAAATATTTTATAACTAAATTAGAAGGTATGGCATGACCAAGAGACCCATCCTCCAATTTGAATCCAATCTCTTAAATATCATTGCATACCTGCCAACACTTGACTTGTGTTAGCCTTGCTTACATGAGGGGCAGCACTGCAGGACAGCCAACCTCTGATCTGGTTGAAATGTTCTGCAATGGCACATAGACATCATGAATGCACACACACTTCACTTTTTGGGTACTTTGCTTTGGAATCCCAAAAGAGGGTGCCCAGGAAAAAAATAAAATGATGGTTTTGAGTGGGGTCCTTAAACTATTAGTACCGTTAAGACTAATTAGAGTAATTATTTAATTTGTGCCCCTTTATATCTCTGGAGAGAATTAAAGACTTGCACAAAATGATGCCTTTTTCTCAGTGCATTAAAATAAGGTCTTGCTGCTTATTATTATTATTATTATTATTATTATTGCCATTTATATAGTGCCAACAAATTTAACTATAGATAGGACAATTACAAGAAAACTTACAGGAACGATAGGTTAAAGAGGACCATGCTCAAACGAACTTACAGTATATAGGAGGTGGGGTATAAAACACATTAGGGCAGGAAATATCAATCAAATAAGGTGGGAGTGAAGCAGAGCTGGAGGAGAGAGTAGAGTGCAGCCCTTTAGGAGAGAGCAAGAGACAGGTATGTAAGGCAGAGGTTACTCTGGGAGGCCATAAGCTTTCCTAAAAAGATGGGTTTTAAGGCACTTTTTAAACGATTGAAGACTAGGGGAGAGTCTGATGGCGGTAGGCAGGCTGTTCCATAGGAAGAGAGACACCCGAGAGAAGTCCTGCAAGTGTGAGTTGTCCATATATGTGCGAGCAGCGGACAGGAGAAGGAGCAGAGCAGAGAGACCGAGAAGGGCATGCCTATGGATCTGTGAAGAGATATGAGGGGCTAGAATTGTTCACTGCTTTATAGGTATGGGTTAGCACTTTGCATTGACTCCTATAGGATACAGGAAGCCAATGTAAGGACTGACCGAGGGGTGAGGTGTGAGAGGACTGACTAGAGAGGAAAATCAGGCTGACAGCAGCATTCATTACAGACTGTAGTGGGGCAATACGGCTTTTGGGAAGACCAATTAGGAAAGGGTTACAATAATCCATGCAGGAAATTACTAGAGCATGGACATCTCCTTGGTAGCATCTTGCTGAAGAAAGGGGTGGATGCGGGCTATGTTTTTAAGATGGAAGCTACAGGATTTTGCAACATACTGGATGTGAGGCTCAAAAGTGAGGCCAGAATAAAGTATGACGCCAAGACTGCACGCTTGCAAGGATGGACTTATGTGGATACCACTAACTTGAAGGGAGAGTCAAGAGGAGGATCAGTATTAGGAGGAGGAAAGACAAAGATCTCAGTTTTAGAGAGATTGAGTTTCAGAAAGCGGGAGGACATCCAGTCAGACATGGAAGAAAGGTAAAGAGAAAATAGAAGGGGACCAAGGACAGTGTCAAAGGCAGCAGAGCGAATTCTTTCTTTAGCTGGTAAAGTAAAGGAGCATGCAAAGCTATCGGCTGTAAGGTTAGTTTGGGGGGTGGCCACAGCAGGGCGAAGAAGAGAGTTAAAGGTGTCAAAGAGATACCTGGGTTTGCTGGAGCATAAACTAATGAGAGAGGAAAATTATGACTGTTTGGCGAGGGCAAGGGCTGCGCTGTATGAACACAATATGAATCTATAATGGAGAAAGTCTGACTGGGTGCAAGACTCCCTCCAGGAGTGTTCAGCACAACGGGAGCATCTTTGCAGGTAGCGTGTTGATTTATTATGTCACAGTTGGGGGCATGTCCTACTTGAGGTGCATGTTTGGAGTGGGGCTGCAGCGTTCAAGGCAGAGGTGAGGGTAGTGTTATATGTGGAGATGGCCAGTGAGGAACAGGAGAGGGAAGGGATTGAAAGCAGTTGTGAATCAATATCAGATGACAGCTGCTGGAGGTCAATAGAATTAAGGTTCCTTCCTCCTGAGTTGAGGGGGGTTAGGCTGAGGTTGGTGAGTGTGGGGGTACTCAAGAGCAAACGATAAGAGGTGGTGACCAGAGAGAGGAATTGGAGTGTTGCAGATATTAGACACTGTACATATATAAGAGAAAATGAGGTGGAAGGTATTTCCAGCTACATGGGTGGCAGAATTAGCCCAC